CTTCTAGTGCTGCCGTGTACAGTATAAGAGGCTTCCTCGGGATTGGCACCGTGAGAATTGGAGGATTCAACAGATATCTTTTAATGCTGTCAAACGCTTCTTGACACTCTTCGTCCCATTTGAATCGGACATCTTTCTTCATCAGCTTTGAAAATGGCTGGCACCTACCCGATAGATTCGATATGAATCTTCGAATGAAAGCCAGTTGTCCTTGTAGAGAACGGAGTTGACGAAGGTTCTTTGGAGGTGGCATCTCCATGATTGCCTTGATCTTGTTGGGGTCGACTTCAATGCCTCAATGTCGAACAACGTATCCCAAGAATTTGCCTAAGGATACCCCAAATGCACACTTGAGAGGGTTCATCTTCAGATCATATTTTTTTATCCTCTCGAACACAATTCTCAAATCGTCAATGTGGTCTTTTCGATCCATGCTTTTAATGACCAAGTCATCTACATAACATTCGACCTTTTGATGGATCAAATCATCAAATATACGAGTCATCTCCCGTTGATATGTGGCACCAGCATTCTTCAGGCCGAAGGGTATGACCGTGTAGCAGAATATGCCTATAGGCGTTCTGAATGATGTATGTTTTCATCTTCAGGCGCCATTTTAATTTGATTGTAGCCCGACGATCCGTCCATGAAGGAGAACATATCAAAGTTGGAAGTGTTGTCGACTAGAAGTTCTGATACCGGGAGCGGAAAGTCATCTTTCGGGCATGCCTTGTTGAGGTCCCTGAAGTCGATGCAGATACGAATCTGACCATTCTTCTTCTTTACAGGGACGATATTGACAATCCAGTCGGCATATTTTTCTTCACGAATAAAGCTTGCATCTATAAGCTTCTTTGTTTCTGCAATCACCTGTTCTTCAATTTCTAATCTCATTCTCCTCGGAGCTTGCTTGATAGGCGCTGCATTGGATTTGATTGCTAATCTGTGAACCGCTACATCAGGGGATAAGCCGGACATCTCAGCATATGTCCAGGAAAAGCAGTCCCTGAATTTACATAGGAGTTCTTTTATTTCTTCTACTTGAGCTTCTGATAGAAGAGAGCTAATAAAGGTTGGGCGAGGTTCTTTCTCAGTTCCCAAGTTGACTTCTTTTAGCTCGTCCATCGTAACAGCTTGTCCACCATCTTCCAGTTCTTATGGTGCAGGCTCAGCCTCTACGGGTTGATCATCACGAGCATCAGCTCCATAAATCTCATTTTCATCATTATCAGATTTGATTTCCTCACAAGTGACTGCTCGACAAGTCTCTTTTCGGAGAAATTTTCGTTTGATGAACCCGATGCCCTTATATGCGTCTATATCCTTTCGTCGTAATGGACGTGGACTTCTCCCATACCAGAGGCCCAAGCTTGTACGGAGCTGTCGTTTGGTAGTAGGAATATTGATTTGCTTTCGTAGCATTCTTTGAATATTCTTGATATTGAACTTGGGTAGCCTCGTAGGAAATAATTCCTCGGAGTCCAGGAGCATGCAATCCTAGTCATGATTCTCTTCTTCACGAACTCCCATGGAATATAACACATTCTTTGGCACAGTCCCATTTTTATGGGGAGGCAGATAGAGGGTGGCGAGTTCTTCAACTTTATGAATCTCGCGCGAAATGAGTTCCTTGAAATGTTGCAAGGGAACACGTGTGACTACGAGTACACTATATGAAATTGACAGACTGTCTATTCTTCTGGAGAACACACTCTGCACTGAGTTCATGTAGATTGAGTCGTAGTCATAATCATCATTTGAAAATTCAACCTGCCTACTCCATTCATCCGTGGACTGGCATATTTTTCGAGATTTGGCAAGAGTAACATCATCTTCATCCGTGTCACTCCCAAGATGAGGTACATGTTTCTTTTCTTTAGGAACGGTTGATGATTTAGGAAGAATCGGCATTGCTTTCTTTCTCCCTACACGCTTCTTCTCATCTTCTTGCTTGGGTTTCTTTTCAGTCTTAAAATTTGATGCTCTAGCCTCAAGAGAACTCGACGACTTTTCCTTCTTTGTCATGAAGTACTTAGCATCTTCATAAACTGTTACTTCATGTACTGCAAAGGGCTGAATATCACCAGAGATTCTGAATTCTTCTCCTTCTCTGAGATACTTCATGCACTGGTGTAATGTTGAAGGGACAACGCCGTATTCATGGAGCCAGGGGCGACCCAATAACGCCTTGAACGAAGTGTCCGCATCAATTACATAGAATTTAGCTTCCGTATGGAGTTCCCCAAGTACAAGAGGAAGCATAAATGGTCCAAGGGTTTTCTGCCCTTTCTCATTGAAGCCATGTACCATCAACTTGTCTTGCCCAAGATGTTCCACATCAAGGCACAACGATCTCAATGCTTTCAAGCTCATGAGATTTACGGAAGATCCGGGATCAATCAGAATTCAACTGATCATTATACCATCGCTCTCCGCCGTAACATACAAAGGACGATTGTGATCTGCCGTTCCAAGCATCATATCATCCTAAGCAAAGGTGATTAGGGGCTCATTTCGAGCTTGCAAGACTTCCGTCAAGTTGCGCTCAGCAAAATACGCTTCATATCTTTCTGGATCTTTGAGAGCTTGAATCAAAGTCTCTCGAAGGTCTTTATACATCAAGAGAGCATCATATATACTGAGTTGTGCTGGGATCTTCCTCAAGTGGGATAAGATATTGTAATATATCCCCTTGGATGAAGTATTATTTTTCTTGGGATCTTTGAGAATAATATCTTCATTGATAACTATCTCTTTTCCCTTATCTTTATTAGAAGTCCCTTTCTTTGGTGGAGGCGGCAGTACCTTGCCACTTCTCAATTGTACTTAGGCCACCTCATCTGATTCAGACTTATTTGATGAAGCATTCTATTCAGAGTCAGCCATTATTGTGTCAGGGGATTCATCTGTAGACTCGGAATCGTCTCCCAACTTCACTTGTTTCATTTGTGATTCTATGCTTGGGTCTGAATCTTCATCATCTGGAAAACATAGATCATCTGAACTGAATTCCATTGATGATACCATTAGACAGAACTCAGGGGCCGCTTCTTCAGCGTATTTCTCCCTATATGATATCTCTGATGTCGTAAAGATGACTCGGCATGTTTCTATAGGAAGAGATTCAACCTCAGCTTCTTCTCTCTTTTTATCTATTTTAAGCTCTTTCATAAAATCGCCGAGCTTAATAAGCCTCATGGTAGTCTGGTAATATTCACCCAAACTATCAATAGCCTTTTGATTTGCAGTCTTCTTTGTCATAGGCTTCTTCAACTTGGCTTTCTTCTTAGAATACTTTGTTTTTGCTTTACTAGATTTGGACGAACTAGCTTGGCCAGGTTTCTATTTAGAGGTGGATGCTTGTGACACAGGCAACCATTTTAAGTTCAGTACTGGCTCAGTAGGAGACTTCCACTTGACACCAGGAACTCCTTCTAGCTGTTTTAACATTTTTGTTATCTTCTTGGATACCATAGTATCCCATTGTTCCTCTTGGATAGATTCTTTTATTGTTGTTTCTTTAGGCGGGAGTACGGAAGAGGACGTGACTACCCGGGTGGATTCCTTTCTAGGACGAACTAACACGTTATCTGATAATGTTAATTCTCCCATTTTATATTTCTTCTCTATCCAATCTTTGAAGACATAGCAATCCTCAATTGGGTGGTTAATTACCCGATGATATGGGCAGTAGTTTGGGTCACCGCTGTGTTTGGATTCTTCAGGTCTTTTGCATTCCGATAACTCCAGACCATTCTTGAGTGCTTGTCGGAATAATTTAGCGACACTATCCCATTTAAATGAATATTCTTTATTCATTTTCTCTTTGAGGGAAGAGAATGTTCTATCACCAGCTCCTATAATTTGCCTCTGGCGCTCTCCTCCACCGGGAAAGGCTCCAGGTTTGTCATTTCCTCCAAGAACCATCTTTGGTTGAGGATTTGGATTGTAAGCCTGTTTCGATTTTTCTTTATACTGCATAGGCTGTTTCCTTTATCCACATTATATACTACCTTTTTACCTTTATCAAGTCTAGGAGGAAATGCAGAGTAAACATCATTTCTCCTAGCATCAGGAGCTTTAGCTTTTTTGGGTCTGTCAGGAAGGCTTTCAGATTTTGATATGTTCAACTTTTCAAATTTTACCACCCTATCCAACAGATCTTGGAAAGTAGTAATTGAAGCCATGCATAAGAATGGTTGCATTTTGTCATCAATGTTTCCCATCAGTAGTTGAACTGCATGTTCTTCCTCTAGTTGCTGCTCGCACTTCATACTGAGATTGCGCCAGCGTGTTATATATTTCGTCACTGACTCATCTTTTCTCCTTTTATCTAGAGCAAGATCAGCGATAGTAGTTTTCTCTGTTGCACTGGCAAATCTTTTCACGAACAATGCCTCTAGTTCTGCGAAGGTCTTCAGAGAATCATTTGGCAGCTCGGCATACCATTCGAAAGCAGTTCCACTCAAGCTGCTTATAAATTGCCTGAATAGCAGAGCATCATTACCCCCTGTGTTCCCACAGGTAGCTTTGAATTGTGCGAGATGCTGCCTGGGATTTTTATTTCCATCGAAGATGTTAAACTTCGGTACAGAATATCCCTTTGGATATGGCACTTGATCGTATTCTGTCGAGTACGGGCGACCTTTTCCTACCAACTTCTCTGCCTGTTCAGCAGCTATAATGGCCTTGATCTTTTCACTGATTAAGCCTTCCAACTGCGATGCAGTTACAGGTTCAGAGGCACTCGCCACATTTTGTGGAGTACGCTGGCGGGTTGGATCATCAGTTTCTTTGCCACCTTCAAGTACACCTTTCACTCCTGAGGCTTGAGGCGCTTGAGGGTTTTGAGAATTAGCAGCTTGGTTGACGGGTTGAGCCGGTGCAGGGCCCACAGAAATGGTCTTCTGCATTATTTCCATCATGGCCGTCATCTGATTCATCATCTCAGTCATATTATCATTTAACTGAGAGATTTCTCTGTCTTTTCTTTGCATTTGTCACCTCATTTGATTTCTCATTTCAGTGAGTGTGATATCTTCACCAGCGAAGGAATTTTCTCCGACCTCTTCTTCTTCCTCATCTCCTTCTTCTGAGGAGCGAGCACTTCGGCTGGCAATGGATCTAACCCTGTGACGGCGCCGATGAACACAAACGCGCGGCTGTGATTGCTGTTCTTCTTCATCACCATCATCTTCTTCCTCTTCAACATCGACGTGGCTGACCATACGAACCACCTCGATTTCCATAGTATCATCATCGACATATTCTTCTTCATCTTCTTGTATCTGAATTTCTGAGCGGCGTCGCCACTGAATTTCAGGCTCTTGACTTGGAATGATTACTTTTTCGATCTGCGGACTACGATCGAAATGAACTTCCTCTTTGGCTGAAGTAGGAGAATGACGGGATCTCCTGGAAGACTCTCCAGGATGTCGACTGTCATTATAATTGTCGTCATTATGGGCCTTCTTTTGGACCCATTTCTGACGAGTTCTGTTGGCAGGGGCGGATCTCCGGGAGACTGCTCCGGATGTCACACCCGAACTAATCCTTTCTTCAAAGATATTTTCTTTTCGAGGCTTCGGCCTCCAAACTTGCTTGCCCTTCCACCGGGACCTTTCGGCAGCGGATCCCCGAACATATGGTTCAGGTGTCACGCCCTGATGCTCATCGCGTGGAGCTTATATTTGATAACTTCTTCGTTCAGTTATCGTAGAGAATGATAGTCTCTCCCTGGGAGGGGTTCTTCGGGCCTCAATGATCAATGGCCTATGGAACTTCTTTTTCATTAGCCCTCTTTCCTTAACTGTCTTCAGAACTCGGTGAACCCAGGCAGACAGGCGTTCGAGCTCTCTTGTCTTTTGAGGAGTTGTAGCTTCAGGTCGACTCTCCCAGAAAGATTGCTTGAGCTCACAAGATGAGCTATTTCTATTTACCCATTTCAGGTTAGTGAATATGTTTTGAGTGGGAATATTTATCTCTGATTCTGGTGCTGGCAGGTTGGAGGGATGAACTGATACT